ATTGGCAAGAGTTTCACTAGGAAAAGTTCATAACAATTGGTACAATGAAGTTGGCATAGCAAGACTACATCAGAGCTAGCATTCAGGTTGGTCGTTTGCCAGCACAGCATGGTCGACCGCGTTCCAGCACGACTTGGTCGACCACGCTACAGCAGTGCAAAGTCGACAGCTTGCCAACGCTGCAGGTTGACGGTGTGCCAGCATTGCTAACGCAGGACAGCAGTGAACCCGCTTTGCAGGTGCACGCAGATGATTGGCATGCAAAGTCTCGTCACCTGCACAGCGCACACACCACGTCAACCTCGGGCTAGCGACTGCCTCTAATCCGCCACGACGACCTCGGGATACCACCATGGAGGTCGGTTTCGCCAACTTCGCCTGGGTGACCGTCGCACTCCTTCGCAGAACCTTGTCACCCAGGTATCCTGGTCGACCGGGCAACTATATCGACCAGCTGCTCCTGTACGTGCCCGTCGACCTCTCAGGTCGACGACCACCTCCACGTCGACCTCCTCCAGGTCGACGTCCCCTCTGGTCGACCAACTCCACGTCGACCAGTACTCCTGGTCGACCTGCTCCTCGTCGACCAGCATAGTCGTCGGCCGACCACCCACGTCGGCCACCCGAAGTTGGCGCCCCGCTACTCGACGCCCAACTGTTCGACGTCGTGAGTCGAGGTCGACGTCGGCCCCTCCTTCGTCGACCAACAGATCCAGTCGACCAGTAGTCTGTTAGCCGACCATCAAAGTCGGCTTCCCCAAGTTGACGTCACCAAGTTGACGTCCTCCGCAGGTCGACTCCCAAGTCGACCTCCCTGAAGTCGGCGCCACCATAAAGTCAGCGCCCGTGCAGTGGTCCCCCGAACAGATCGACCTCCTCGTCGACCAGCTCACTCACTGCTGTAGGTCGGCTGCTCCCCTCACACCCGACCACGAAGTCGGCTCCGCCCAAGCGAGGACGGGGCCAATACCCAACTCCCGTTGACAATGCTTAGGCACGAGCGCCATGCACATGCACCCGAACACCCGAAGCATATCCACCTTTGGCTTCCTTCCTAGCCACTCCACATAGGGCACCCATTTGTCTGCTCCCACATGAGTCAAGGCTTTGTTCTTGGCCACACACGCGTTCCGCACCGCATCAGGCCAGAAGTAGTCGGGTAGCCCGGCTTCAATGAGCAACCCGCGTGCCGCCTCCGTGATTGTGCGATTCGCTCGCTCGGCGATGCCGTTCATTGCAGGGGAGTATGGCATGGTGAGGGAGTGCCGAATACCATTCTTCTTCAGCCACAACCCAAACTCCTTGCTCAGGAACTCTCCCCCTCGATCGGTGCGGATTGACTTGACTAGACGGGCTTGTTGCCGCTCCACCATCGGGAACCAATCCGTCTTCAACGTTTCAGCCACGTCGCTCTTCTTGGCCAGCACATACACCCAAGTCATGCGGGTGTAGACGTCGACAATGGTGAGAAAATACTCAGCTCCAGCAGCTCCAAGCTTCAGGGGGCCCACCACATCCATCACCACCTCATCAAGCGGTGCCTTAGCCGTCGCCTCCGAACTAGAGAACGGGAATCGGGTGAACTTGGCTTGCATGCACGTCGGGCAGCCAAGTACCTCATTGGGCTCCCCCTTCACACGTATGCCAGCAACCATCTCATTCTTTACTAGCTGCTGCAAGATGGGCAGGGCCACATGCCCCATTCGCCGATGCAAGGTGAGCCAATCACACTCCCCCGTAGCCGAAGTTGGATTGGAAAATGCCGCGCTCGCAATAGCGCCCCACATACTCTCTCCGTAGTCCTCCTCCACTACTGCCTCGGGGTTCTCCTCACCCTTTTGCTGCTCCTTGGTTGCTGCACCACTCTCCTTAGGTTCACTGAACTTGCTGGTCCCTCCAGGTTTGCTCTTCTTGAGCTCATTCTCCTTAGCGCGACCGTTCGCGCCATCGCCGCTACCAACCGCTCCATCCTTGGTGCTGATGCTTGCTGCCACTTGCCTCTCCTTAGGCATAGGGACCACTGGGATCTGCCACTCCTCATGAAGGTCCCAAAGAATTCGATCGCCAAGCCTTGCGGTGTAGGTCTTGGCTCCCTTCGAGTTCGTCCATGCCGGCCTTTGCCAACCGCCGCACGGAAATCAGGTTTGCAGCAAGGCTGGGCACCCAAAGCACGTTCTTGAGGCCCACCATCTTCCCGTCAGCACCCTTGAACATGGCCTTCCCCATGCCTTTCACCTCTGCTCGCTGTCCCAAAGCCGATGTGACATGCTTCACCGGTGACGGCTCGAGTTCGGTGAGCAAGTCCGGGCGAGGTGTCATGCTATAGGTAGCGCCACTATCAATCACCCAATAGTCCAGGGGGTGTAGGGTCACCTTCCCCATAGCTGCTGGCTCCTCAAAGCCTTCATCCTTCTCTGGACCAGCCGGTACTTGCGTCAACACGAAGTAGAATAGACCCGGGTATCGATCGTCGCTCGGGTCCTTGTCGTTGTCTCCGCTCTTCATGTTTGCAGCTCCGCCACCGCGACCGCCACGGCCTCCACGGCCTCGTCCTCTCCCTCCTCCTGCTCCTCTACCCTCTTGGCCTTGAGCAGGGGTCCAACCATCAGAGAGTTTGTAGCAGTCGCGCCACATGTGTCCGCTCTTGTAGCAATAGTGACACTCGCCGTCGAATCGGCCGCGACCGCGTCCGTAGCTCTTGTCGTCGCTGCCGTAACCGCCACTCCCGCGGCCTCCGCCGAAGTTGCTGCCACCAAAACTTCCTCCCCCTCGTCCTCTACCTCTTCCTCGACCATATCCACGGCCGATGCTCGCTGCCCCAGCGCCATCCGCACTCGCCAACTCACGGCGGCGGAAATCCTCTTGAAGGATAGCTCGCTTCACGTCTTCAAGCGAGAGGCGGGGCAAGTCGCGATTAAGGTTGATGATGAGCAAGGACCATGACTCAGGGAGTAGGGCCAGCAACTTGGTCTTCTTTTGGAGCTCACTATAGTTCAAATCAGCTCCCTCAAGCCGCGTCAACAAGTCGAAGAATTTCTGCACCCCTTCTTCAACCGCTTCATCCTCTTCAATTCGTAGTGTCGCCATTTGCCGTTCCAACACCACAGCTACCGCCGCTGTTGCAGGAGCGTGTACACCCTTGAGAGCAGCCCATGCCTTTGGTCCCTTCTCTCGTTCACGCTGGAAAGGCTTGATGTGACGGATCTGGCTGATCCCCAACGCTTGCCCTAGTAGGAGGTAGCCTTGTGCGCTCTTCCGCACCCACGGGCTCTTCTCCGGGTCGTTCTTTGGGCGCTTCTCCGTTCCTTCCATCACCTCCAGTAGGTCATAGTGATCAAACACGTTCTCCATTCTGAAGGATCACTCAGCAAAGTTGTCACCGTTGAACTTGTCAAGGCCAAACACTCTAGGCTCGTCCCTAGATGGGCCAACACTTGGTTGCACGGGCGCCATGGCTGAGTCACGGGGTTGGCCTTGAGCTTGGGCTTCTCCACTGCCACCAGCTCCTCTGCCACCCCTTTCCTCAGGTCCAACCATTGTCGAAACTGCTCCAAGGGGCTTTGATACCACTTGTTATAGTCACAGTAGGCTCCAATGTGCCTAAAACGAAAGAAAGAGTGCATAGTCGGATTTCTGCACAGCGGCTTCAAACGTTCATAGCGATCTGCTCACAACTCCAAATGACTTCTTTCAACTTGGATCTGGAGCGCCTTAAAGTTGCCTACAATAGAAAATTTAGATCGCATGCTTTCATTAAGAACTGACGACACAACGTTGGTTTGAACGAACGGCACTATGGCAGCAACATAGTCTTAGAACACAAGATAGGAAGAGTTAGGAAGAGTTACGAGTTGGGAATGACTCCCAGCTCCTACAAACCCCAAGAGCCGAGGTACAGTGATGTGGAACAGTGCCACACTGTCCCCAACCACGAAGGGTCTCGAAACTACCCTTCACTAGGGCCTACACCAAGTGAAATGTTACACTACATAAAGTAATGTAACTATCCTCACGACTTGGCTAGAGCAGCGGAGCTAGCAGTGGCATCCCTACAGGTGAGCAGCTGCTGTTGCACCTCGTGCTTGTGTTTGTTGATGCTCTACTGTGTTTTCAATGTTTGTCTAGCTTTTCTGTTTCAACAGCAGAGCTGGCAGTGGCACTGGGCTGTCCATGGCTTTGAGGCAAGCTATATCAGCAGAGTTGGCATTGCCAACCCGTGGCATTGCAACCTTCCTGGCCTGATTGCTCCTCTCCTCCCATTCTTTCTCCCTACAGGCTGTGCTCGCACGAACCTTGCAGCACCGCTCTCCACCTCTGGACGGCACCGAGTCCTCTCCCACTCCCCCCACTCCCAAGCGCCTGGAGCTCTGCCTCGTTCAGAGCCGTGATGACTATATAAGCCCGCCTGTTGTGTTACGTGCACAAGCGGTTGAAAGCGGTGTAGATGGTTTGGATGGATTGCAAGATGGTGAAAGTGCCTTGGTGAGCAGTGACAGTGTAGGGGTGCTGCAGGATAAGGGAGTTGATGCTCAGCTGACAACTGAGAGCTGAGTTGAATGTACTGTAAAAAGAGAACGCTCAACTGTTTTTGGCCGGGTGAGGCACTTTCCTGAGCACAATTAACACCAAGAAAAGGACCAGGCGGGATTCGAATCCACAAGGTGTTGCACTTCAGTATTTTGAATGAGAGAGTTATGCTACTGGTCCTGTGTTGCATTGAAATTGTTTTGTATTGTACTATTTAACGACGAAGTGATTTTCAAGGTTGGCTGTACTGAGCTCTCTTGTCAAGCATCATGGAGGACGCAGAGCCACTGCGCGCGCTCTCCGCCCACATCGCGTAAAAACGGACCAGGCGGGTATCGCCCTTACTTAGATAGTTTCCCTCAGCTTTCCGCTCTATCGCCGCGTTCCTTCCGTCCCTAGTCCCTCCCCGCGCTGCGCGCGCTCTCCGTCCACAGCGCGTGACGCGGACCGTACTTGTCTCCCGCCGAGTAGCCATGGAGGACGCAGAGGCGCGCCGCTCTCGCCTGCGCAGCATGCGCGAGTCCGCGGCGAAGCAGCAGGCGGCGTCCCCCGGCGCACCCACGCCTTCCGCCGCCCTCTCCGCACTCCCCTCCCCCGACTTCTCTCCGCCGCTTATCCGTACGCATCCGCGCGTGCACCATCCGGGGAAGGCGGACCTGGGGGAGGTAGATCTGCTAGACGGCCAGCAGGAGCAGCCACCACAGGCTCGGGGAATTTCTCACAGGCCTCATGTAAATATCTTCAAAGCTCTAGCGTGTTTGTCTTAAAGCCCTATCATTCTCAGCTTCCGAGGTACCTGATCTACCCTACTCCCCAGCACCACGAGTGTCAAGTGCTGTCGTTTATGGCTCCCAAGTCATCTCTCCAGCATTTCTCCCAAGTCATTTCTCCAGCATTTCCCTCGCAGCATCCGGACTCAAGCAGACGCCATCAGTGCATGTGACATGCTGCGCGCTGCAGGGCCCAGGAAGGTATGCGAGGCTACAGGGGAGGAAGAACAGTGGGTAGGTAGGTGAGGGGGACTTTCTGGAATCTCAATACTGTTTCGAACAAACGTGTGGCGGTGGATTAGCCTGCTGCTTGATGCTGCGGGTCCCAGAAACGTATTCTGCACGGCTAGGGCCTAGAGGGGACGAAGAACTGTGGGGCAGGAACTTTCGAGAAACTCACACTTTCTGAAGTGTTTTGAATGTAAGTATGATGGTGAATTGGGATGGTTTTGCATGCTCTAGGGCCCAGAAAGGTATCACATTGAGTGGGGTTCAGGTCATCTAAACCTCATGGGGGGTGGGGGTGGGATGGGGGGGGGGAGAAGGAGGAGGGGGAGTGGGGGACGGGAGGGGGAGAGAGAAGGGCACTCCATTTGAGGACGGCATGGTGGGCGTGCTGACGTCATGGTTTGCTTGCTTGCTGGCGCTCTGGCGCTGCTGCGAGAGGGGAAGGATAATCCTCGAGTTTCCCTGCTGAATGGATTTACCAGCAAGCAACAGCTCCTCGTAATTCATCAGGTGAGGCACGAGGAGTGGAGGGAGTGTACTTGCTTTGCTTCGAGGAGGGAGGGAGGGTGAAGAAACACCTCTTTCAACTCCACTCAACCGCTGTCACGTACCCCACGACACTCCCATCAGGTGGAGATCACGAGCATGGAGGTGAAAGCCCAGCTGCTGGTGGTGGAGGGGAGATGTCCCATGAAGCATCGCCACATCTCTTAAGCCCGCTCAACCCCTGTCAACTGCTTTCAACCCCCCCAAAATATTGTAAACACCCCAAAACACTCCCGTAATGTGGTGATCACGAGCATGGAGGTGGATGGAAGGCCGGTTGCTGGGGTGGAGTGGTCCTTGCGGCAACACCCCTCTTAAACCTGCTCAAACCCCTTCAACCACTTTCAACCGCTATCAACCCCTTTCAACTGTTTTCAACCACTCCCATCAGGTGGTGATAACGAGCATGGAGGTGGATGGCCAGTTGCTGGTGGTGGGTAGCGACGCCAGCAGCCCTGCTGTAGAGCAGGTGGGTGCAGCAGAGCAGGTGAGTGGTGCAGCAGAGCAGGTGAGTGATGCAGCAGAGCAGGTGAGTGGTGCAGCAGAGCAGGTGAGTGGTGCAGCAGAGCAGGTGAGTGGTGCAGCAGAGCAGGTGAGTGGTGCAGCAGAGCAGGGCACGGGGTGTGTGGGTGCTGGACTCGCTGCTGATAGCCTGGTGCTGGTGGTGGGGCGTGACGCCAGTAGCCCTGCTGTAGAGCAGATGGGTGAGGTGACAGGGCATGGGGCGTGCCAGTGTGGTGGTCGAGGTGTGCTTTGAGTCGAATCACTCACATGTGGTTGGATATGCTGCCCTGCCGTTGTCACTTTACCCCCCTGCCCTTGTCACTTCACCCCCCTGCGCTTGTCACTTCACCCCCCTGCCCTTGTCACTTCACCCCCCCTGCCCTTGTCACTTCACCCGCCTGCCCTTCCTGCATTGCGTCCTCCTCAGCCTCCTCATCATCCCCCTCACACGCCTCTGTCTCTCCCTCCCTCTCTGCCGCGTGCGTGCCTCTTAGCTCCCTTCCCAGCCCTTCTCCTGATGCCTCCACCGGCGCTTCTCCTCGCTCGTTCTGCAGCCCAAGCGTCAACTCCTCCCTTGCTTCTCCAGCAGAGTTCTTTTTCAAGTTTTCTTCATCCCCTTCCTCCGTTGTCCCGTCTACCAGGTCAATCGTCTTCTCCCCCTCTTCGTCCCTCATCCCCCCTATCTTCTTCCCCTCCCCCCCCCCCTCCTTCTCCTCTTCCGCCTCCTTCTCCCCTTCCCCTGCCTCCGCTTTCGCCTCCTTCTCCCCCTCCCCCCCTTCTTCCTCCTTTTCCTTCTTACCCTGATCCTCCTTCCCCTCCTCATCCCCACTTCGCTCCTCCTTATCCTCTCCCCGCTCATCCCCGCCTTTCCCCCCCTGCGCCTTCCGCCCCTCAAGTCCGCGCAAAGACTTCCCCACTCCGCGCACCTTGGCGCGGATGGACTCCGCATGGGCTGACGTGCTGCTGCCGGAAGGGGAAGCAGGAACAAGGAAAGCAGGAAAGGGGACAAGGAGGGAGCGGGGGAGCGTGGGGGAAGGAGGGGGGGGGGGGGGGAAGTTGAGGGGGGTGGGAGAGGGAGGAGGGGGGGAAGAGGATGGTAGAAGGTGAGGGGGTTAGGGTGGGGGGCCTGATGGGCTCTGCAAGGGCTCATGGCAGGGCCCCCAATTTATGGTTGGAAGGGAAACGGGGGACGATGGGGTTGAGTCCATGCATTTTGCCTCTTCACTCGCCTCACGATTACCGCAGATGGTGTCTCCATGGTTCGAAAGCACGACATCTGCGACGCATGTGAGACGTGCGCGACACGTGGGCGACGTGTGCGACACATGCGAAACATGTGCGACTCTCACCATCACCATCGGTTCGGAAGAAGACCCATCCGCCATGCGAGCTCGCTTGCGCCCTGTCGTACCGCGTCGCGACGCCGCCGCGCCGCTCTCCCACTCCGTCCTTATCGCGCCCGCCAGTGCGGAAATAACCTCAACCTTCTTCTTAATCCATTCCTCCAATTCCGCCATCGCCCTCTCGATTCCGTTCTTATCTTCGTCAGGGCTCCTCGCCCCCGCTACCACAGTCGCGTCCACGTTCTCTCGCATATTCGACTCGCCACTCTCGCCCCGTAATTCCATTCTGCCTGTTCCGCCGCCCATGGATTGCATCCGTCGCATTTATCGCGTCTCGCGCGTCTCTCTCATTTCTCACGGTTCGCGCATTCGTCGCATTTAGCACCTTTGCTGTCAATCTTCGCTGGCGGGTCACGGAGCGGTGACCAGCTCGCGACATCGTCAAAACTCTACGAAGCGGCGGAGTTACGGCGGACAGTAGTCAATAAAACAGCAGAGGTAGAGATGGAGGCTGTGTCGACACCTCCAGGCAGTATCACGCTGATGGTCAGCTGCGATATAAATCAAATGGTAGCTCACGTTGCCAGCGGTCAACATGGAGGGGTAAAAGACTTCGTTTGCAACCGAAAAACAGGAGGGGAAATGAGGTGCTGGAGTGGTAGTGGCAAGGTTAGTGAAGGTGGTATTCACGAATAGGATCGAAACCAAGTTCAGGGACGACTCTGGCTAGGGAAACCAAATTCGAATCGGCGGGTTCTCATCGTTACGAGTTGACGAATTGTTCTTGAGAAAATCTCGAAAGTAGAAACTCCTTGCCAGTTCAAACACGCGACGATTTTGAAATTGGATGTGACGGTGTTACGTGTGCAATTGAGTGAACGAACGAGAATTGCACTATCGAAGCAAAAGTACAATCGAGCGAAGGCATGAGCGAAGGATTATATAGCGAAACAATAGTGGTAACGGTAATGGACTGTGGTTGTCGCGCGTCGAGCCTGAGACTGAGGTTGGGAAAGTGTCGAAGCGTAGGCCCGGAGCGCGGGTTACCAGCCGAGCCGTGAGGTCGGGATGCGATGTGCGAAAAAGGCGGGATGATGAATGATGCGATGGTCGCGAGTGGTAACGGTGCTGACTGAGGTGCTACAGTGACGTACGCGCTGGGCAGGGACGCGAAGTAAGGAAAAGGGAATTTCCTTACACTACCCCCCTCCCCAAGGAGGCCCCTCTTACGAGAGCGCATGGACGTCGCGGAAATTTCGGCTTCGCAGATACTCGGTGAAGACAGGGTGGTTCTCAATTTTATCCAGGGGGACCCAGTTGTCTTCTGTGGGCGTTCGGTCCTTCCAGCGAATTAGGAACTCGATCCTTCGGGCTCCCCGAGGGTCGCGGACGCGGTGGCTGAGGATTTTGTCAGGGGTGATGAGTGGTTCGGTTGGGGGACGTGTCATGCTGGCCGGGCGATGTCGTGGCAGTTGGCTCGTGGATGGGATGTAAGGGCGAAGTAGGCTGACGTGGAATGACGGGCTGACGTACCAGTCAGCGGGGAGGAGGAGGTGGGCGGTGACGGGTGTGATCATGTGGCTGATGCGAAATGGCCCACAATATCGGGGGCGAAGTTTTGGAGTGATGGGCAGGCGAAGGTTTTGAGTGTCGAGTAAAACGAGGTCGTCAGGCTGATAAGTAACGGGTCTGCGATGTCGATCGGCATTGCGTTTAGCGATGATGTTTGATTTTTTTATTGCTTCTGCTGCCCTGGTCCGTGCTGCTTGCAGGATCTCGGCGAACTGTTGTGCTCGTGGGACGGGGTTGTCGGGATTCGGTGTCATGGGTACTGTTGGGTCCTGTCCGTAATTTAGATAAAACGGCGACTGTTGCGTCGTGGCTGATGGTGCGTTATTGTATGCGAACTCAATGAGTGGCAGTTGCTGTTCCCACGTATTCGGGTCGTCGCACGTGGCTCGAATCAGCTGCTCCATGGTCTGATTTGTCCGTTCCGTCTGTCCGTCGGTTTCGGGGTGATAGGATGAACTGAACTGTAAGCGCGTGCCGAACTGCTGCCACAGGTTCCGCCAGAAGTTGCTGGTGAATTTCGTGTCCCTGTCGCTGATGATCGACGCGGGTATCCCGTGCAGGCGTACGACGGTGGAGATGAATAGTCGGGCGGTTTCCTCGGCTGTGATGGATTTCCTGCATGCTGCGAAATGAGCCATTTTCGTTAGTCGATCGACGACGACCAGGATCGCGTCATTCCCACTCGCCCCAGCTGGTAACCCCGTGACGAAGTCCATCGTCACCTGCTGCCAAGCACGCTCTGGAGGCGGGATGGGTTGTAATTGCCCCACTGGTCGCTTCCTGCTTGTCTTCATGAGCTGGCAAGTGGGACACGATGCCACGTGTCGTTGCACGTCAGTCAACATTTCTGGCCAGTAGTAGTACCGCTGCAGCTGCTGCCGTGTTTTTTCTACCCCGAAATGTCCCGAGGTAACTCCGTCGTGTGCTTCCTGTAACAGTAGTTCCCGAAGTAACGTGTATCCCGGTACCCAGATGCGGTCGGTTCCAGTTTTTACGTAATAGACTCCTTTTGCCGCTGCGAATTGCTGTGAGTTGCCTCCTGTAAAGAACGGGTCTGTTTGATATCCGTGGGTAAATAGGCCGGTAAGCAGTGGGCTGGTCTGGGCGAGTAGTATCGCGTGGATCTGGGCAGTGGGGCGGGTCAGTGCGTCGGCGATATTCGATGCTCCTTTTTTGTATGTGACCGTATAGTGAAAGTTCGACTCGAGGAAATCGAGCCATCGAATCTGTCGTGGGTTGAGGTGGGGCTGTGCGCGGAGGTACTGTAGAGATCGGTGGTCTGTCCGTACTGTCACGTCTGCGCCAGTCAAGTAGCAGCGCCAAACTTTGAATGCATGCACGATCGCGAGCATTTCGCGGTCGTGTATCGGATAATTTCGCTCAGGCGGATGTAGTTTTCGTGATTCGTAGGCGATGGGTTGGAGGCCGTTGCCGAAGTCCTGTAACAGTACAGCTCCGATGGCGATGTCACTTGCGTCGGTAACCACTTCGAAAGGGCGGTGGGGATCAGCGATGCGTAGGACGGGTGGTGAGCAGAGAACGTTTTTTAGGGCAGAGAAGGCAGCATGCTCTTTCTCCCCCCACGTAAAAGCGACCCCCTTACGCAGTAAATCAGTTAGTGGGGCGGTTAAACGTGCCATGTCGGGCACGAACCGTCGAACGTAATTAACAAACCCTAAAAAACTCTGCAGTTCCGTGATGTTCGTCGGGGGGCGCCACGCTTTTACCGTGTCCAGCTTCTTTGGGTCAATCTCAACCCCAGCCTCGGAAATGACGTGACCTAAAAACTCTAGCCTATCCCTAAAAAACTCGCACTTGGAGCCCTTGGTGAGCAGCCGATGTTCCTCCAAAACCTTAAAAACTGCTTCAAGATCTGCTAAGTGTTGCTGCTTATCCCGACTGTAAACGAGGATATCGTCTAGGTAAACGATGACGCATTTATCTAAAAGTGGCCTAAATGCCTCGTTCATGGTCATCTGAAAAGTCGCAGGCGCGTTCGTCAACCCGAAGGGCATTACTGTATACTCGAATGACCCGTACCGAGTCCTAAATGCTGTCTTTGCGCAGTCCGATGGTTCGACGCGAATCTGATGGTAACCTCCTCGTAAATCTATTTTCGAAAAGACACGTGCTGTTCGCAGTTGGTCAATCAGTTCGTCGGCGCGGGGGATGGGGTATCGCGATTTGACTGTTACTCGGTTAAGCGCTCGGTAGTCGATGCACATGCGAAAACCTCCGTCTTTTTTCAGTGTGAACAGTATGGGTGCGGCGAACGGTGACGAGCTCGGTCGAATAAACTGCTTCTCTAACAGGTAATCTAACTGCTTCCTTAACTCGTCGAGCTCGGGCTGTGTCAGTCGAAATTGCCGCTGTACGGTTGGCTGTGCCCCCGGTTCTAGCTCGATCCTATGGTCGTGCGCTCGCTGAGGTGGCAGTCCCTGTGGTAAATCATCCGGAAATATCCCCGGGAACCGTTTCAGTAGTGCTTGTAATTCGGTCGGTACGGCTGCTAGCAGTTTCTGTAAATCGTTCTGCTGCTCGTCTTTTTCTACCACTGCGATATCCACTGCGTACACGTCAGCTCCAGCAGCGACAGCCCGTTTCATCGCGATGGCGTTGACCTGGACTGTCGAAGATTCGGGTGGCCGCCAGCGAGGTAGGACGACCCAGTTACCGCTACTTCGCACTGTGCAGCTCCCCGTCGTCCAGTCGATCCGTGGGTTGTACCGTCGCAGCCAATCACGTCCCAGTAAAATGTCGTGCCCATCCAGCGTCGTTGCGAGCATTTCCTGTGTAAACCCGAAGTTTCCCCCGCAGCGGACTTTTACTCGCTCCACCTTTTCTCGTATGGCCAATGGCGTGCCGTCGACTAAGCGTGCATCTATCTCAGGTAAACATCGGTTAAGTGTTAACTGTAATTTCCGTGCGGTTGCGGTATTAACTAAGCTGTGACTTGCTCCTCCGTCAATGAAGATTTTCACTGCTGCTCCCTGTATTTTCCCGTAGATCAGTACCGGGCAATCCGTCGCTGTACCCTCCTTATTCATCCGAGCCCGATCGATGGCGTGAATCGGTACTGTGACTCGGTGAGGGTCGGTGTGGTTGGGCGAGCAGGCAGTCTCGTCAGTAGTTGGCCCAACTTCTACTGACTGCTGGCGTTTCCCTGCCTCTGAGACTCCTTCCCCTGCTCTGCTCCTCGACGCCTCAGCTCCTCTGGACATTCGCTCTTGCGATGGCCCGGCCGGTTGCAAGCAAAGCAGCGCCCTCTAAATGGCGTGGCAGCTGCATTCGTGGCGACGGCATGTACAGTGGCGTGCTCGATCGGTCCCCGAGGGCGATGTCCAAAATAGGACCCCGGTCTCGGTCGGCGTAGGATATCGATTTTCTCGGCGAGCGCGAGGATTTCGTTGAAATTCGATAGCCCGCGTAGCATTATCTCGTGCGATATGTCCGGCTTCAGCCCTCCGACGTAACGGTCCACCCGCTCCGCCTCGTGCATGTAGCCGACCTGTTCGCAAAGTGCGAGAAAACCGCTGGTGTAGTCTTGAACCGACCCGAGCTGGCGCCAAGTGCGCAGTTTCTGACGCGCCGAAATCGAAGCCGCGATCGGCTCAAAACGCGCCCGAAGCCCTGCGCACCACGCATCCCACGTGCTGTATTGGGCTGTTTCGCAGAACGAA